TTCAGGGCTTAGGGCTTAGGGTTTTAGGGTTTAGGGTTTAGGGTTTAGGGGTTCGGGTTTTAGGGTTTATACAGGGTTTAGGTTTAGGGCTTACGGGTTGCCTCTTCGGCGTCTTTGGGCTTCAATCTCGGGGCAAAACCCTAGCACCCCCTCAGCCCTAAACCCTAAAACCTGATTGCCTCGACGCCCAAGATGATCACATTGATGAAAATCAGGACGACCATGATGCAACCTCGTGCTTTACCCCCAACCGCACTTGGAGGCTTGGCTAAGGTATAATACGGTTGATGATATAAATCCCGCATTGCCCAACATAAGGAATATACTGAAATTCCCATAGTTTAGGGACCTTAAGGTAATGCAGGATTTCTATCATCAACAGTATCATGGTATACTCTAACGCAATGAAGACTGGCTTTACCAGGGCTTCGGGCGTCTTGTTTGGGGTTCGAGGCTATGTTCTTGGCTTTCCGGGTTTAGGCTGGTTTAGGCTTTAGGGTTGTATCGGCTCCGTGTACTTCACTCGGGCTTTGAAAAAAGCCCATTTACGGTGCATTCCTGCATGAAAGGCCCTGTGGGTGTTCTGCATCTACCGGTGTACACTGAGGTTCAGTCCTAAGTATGCAATTGCTGCTTGCGCTTTGTATGGTAGACTTTTGGCCTCTGGTGCACATAGTCATATAACGTAATGGCCAGTACTTGGAGGTTCAGGGTATGACTTCAAGGTTTGATAAAGGCCTTAACAAGTTATAGGGAAGGCCTTAGGGTACTTACAGCCTAATCATCACTGCATCTCAGGATCATATCTGCTCCCCTAGCTATGACTGGGTCTACGTTTGAAGTACCCTACCTTGCAGTAGGCGTTGCCCCCATCATCAGACAAGGATTCCGGCTCTCCCGAAGCTTACAGAAGGGGTCAAAGGGATTTGCCACAAACTAACATCAAAATAAGTCAAACCGTAAACCCGGACGGGTTTGCACATGTGTCGAAAAGTTCGATCTTCTGCGGTCCGCAGGTGACCCACTAGGGCCACAATAAAGCACGAAAGTTTAGTCCCTGAAGTTCCCAGATGTAAGGGATCCAGACGCGCATACCCGAACAAGGTACCGTAGCATGATAGGCTTTCAGGGTGTGGGTTCTGAGGGGCACCGGTGTCAAGCGGAAAGGAACACAAAATGAGCATAAATGCAGTGGCTTGCCGATCTGCTTAAGATATCTTAACTGTGCTCTTGCAACCGTCTCCAACAAAGGCCCGCAGGAGTTTTACTACGAATACAGCGATGCGAAATGCGAAGCCAGGGTCAAGGCAAAAAACAAAAATCTGCTGGCTGTTGCTGACCACGCGCTTGGGTGGATTGACGACTCTTTGACTGCATCACCATGCAACGGAATTTGACTGTTGACTACTTCTTTGTCAGAGTTTTTAGACAGTCGAGAGGTCCCGTGCTAGGTAATGACACGGGTTCTCTCGAATGTCTATATTTAGTGTGCAGGGTTTCGGCTGCAGAGAGTAGGGACTAGGGTTTAGGGCTCTAGTAGTCCGCCATCAAAGCTCCCTGAAGGCTGAACTTGAACTCTGTTTGAACCTGCTGCAGCGCTGACAAGAATCAAACCCCACGGCGAACCCTGTTGCCCGAAGCCTTAACCCTCAGTGCACAACCGCGACTTCAAGGATCATGGGACTTCCGACGTATGGGTTTAGAGGTACCGTCCGCTGCATGGGACTTCCGACGTATGGGGTTAGAGGTGTACTTGCCGATCCTGAAAAAAAAAACCTCAACCCTAAACCTTAAACCCTCATCCCTAAAACCTAAACCTTAAACCCTAAGCCCTAAACCCTAAACCTTAAACCCTAATTCCTAAACCCTAAACCCTAAGCCCTAATCCCTAAACCCTAAACCTTAAACCCTAAACCCTACACTCCTAA